AAGGGAAAGATTTTACTGCAAGGCTATTTTTCTGATTTTCTGACCGTATCATCTGATATTATTCCATTTGGGTAAAAATCACACTTCTTGCCTCATTAAAATGCAATTGAAAATCTGAGGCCATTGCATTTTGTGTTTCACAAAATTATTTATTTCATCAAATTGCACAAATGTATCAAGTAAATTAGTTGGAAACATGAAAAGAACAGCTTTTTTTTATCTTTTCTAGACATGAACTGAAATGCAATAGTAAAACAAGAATTAAATTTTACTTTACAACATGTTATGTAGCTGCAAGTACCTCCTATAAAGGCAGTTAATGTATGGAAGTTGATTTTACGGTCATAGTCCACCAAAGCCCTGTTTTTACAAGAGGGTTAAACATGTACATTAGAAAGAGACTTACTGTAAATATTTTGAATAAACACAAGAAATGTTAAATTACTTGTGGATAGCCCAGCCAAGATTAATGATGAAATCTACTGGCCTATTGATGTTGCAAACAACTGACTCCTACCTAGGATCTATGAAGGAATAAAAAGAACTTACAGCGTCAAATTTTGCTCTCAGTTTTACACTGATGTAAAGCCAGACTAAGTCTGTTGGACTCAGTGTAACTGTGGAATATTTCCAGGTGTCTATCAGAGAGGAACTGCAGAAACATGCTGCTGTAAGGGAGTTGTGGAATCTGCCCATGAGCATTTCAAACCTTGATTTTCACTTTGTGCTTGGGCCTGAAGTGTGCTCAGGTTTGCAGTATTGGCCAAATAGAAGGTTTGACTGTGTAAGAAATGCTGAATAAAGACCTCAAATGCCAATGCTGTCAGCATATCTGAACAGTTTTACCTTTACACACATGCCCCCATCCTGCTGACTTCAATTTCCTAATCGCCTCTAAAATTCATACAGAATTTTAAAATCCTGTTTTCTAAAATAGCCATCAAAATACAAATGTGTTATATCAGAGCGTCAGGAAAATTAAAGAATCACAGTATGAGTAGACAACTGTTTTTCACTTGTTTCTCTGTTATGCTACTTTAGAAAGTTTAAAAAAGTAATTGAAGATGGAGTGGAATGAAGAGAGGTACATTAAAACAGGTAAACACACAGAAAGTTTACTTAAAAAGCCATGCAGGATTGGCTTTTAGGTGAAAATAAAACAAGGAAAATCTAGGCTTGATTCTGCATCTGTCTGAATTAAATTGCAAAACCTTTTGTTCATTTTAATCATTCCAGCTATATGCATATGTATGATTGAAAATTTTATTATATTCCTATAGGATCTCTTTGCATTATATGCCTAAATAAATGAAGTGAAATTTACTTTGTAAAATATTTGCGGAATCTTCTTAAGAACCATTAAGCTCATTAGCCAGGTGAATTCGTTTTGGATTCATCCAACAAACTGTGTAACTAGCTGAGAGCCACAGGGCCAGCTGTCTAAAAGACAAGTTAGTCTGTACGGGAGCCAACAGCCAGATGGAGATGACAGCCAACTCAGGAAATACAATATGAATGTCAAAAGACGGTAAAAAGTCTGACCACTGAGCTCCATAAACACAGGTTTGAATTGTCATCAGTATTCTGCCTTTGATTTCAGCCTTTCTGCCCCGCTCCCCCCCCCCCCCCCGCACTGGTTCACCTCCCGCGTCCTCATTAGGATGAGTTCAGCAAAAAGCCAAGTAGAGCAGCACTGGAGCTGGGGATTTAATCCTACGAGGAGGCTGATGGGTGCTCAACCAGCTCACTACAAAACCGTGTTACACACTCAGCAAACAGAAAGCTCAGCTTGACAGAAGGGAAATATAATTAGGATAAAGAAAAAAGAAAAGCAGAGGAAGGAGGGCTCCCATTACTGAGGGGTTAGTAGAATTCATAAGGCCTCTAGACACAAGCAAGAAGCTCAAAAGCAAGAGAGGAAGTCTGAGGCAGATTATTTCTCCCTTTTGTAAGTCAAATGACTAATTATACAAAGGAAGATGTTTTTTTTGAAAAAGAGATTTGAAAGGTATCATGCAATATTGATACAGAAATTGTATTTAATGCAGGTTTACAAGCTAAGAGGTAAAAGAAAATGTAAATGTAAACATGGTGTTTTCTCCTTATTCTCCCTGAGGTTCTTCCTTCTGTCAGAAAGACACCTAGCTCCCCTGCCTTGGTGCAGAAAATTCCCTGTGCAAGGGCAAAATACTTCCAACTGGGGACAGTTTTAGACTTCCACAGTATGTGTCCAGAAAGGTAAAGAAACCGTGAGCTTAATCTAACTGAATTTCCATTCTTGAACAGTGTTGCTATTTATTTTACTCATTTTTCTTTCAAAGGAAGAAAAAAAAAAAATCTCTGTTAGAAGGAGCTGGATCAATACTAAGAAATTCTTTGTCAGATAAAATAAGAATGATCATTAACCTTGCTGCTTATGAATTAAATGCAAACTTTGCTTTTCAGCTCGTCTTTCCCACAGCATCCCCAGCAAACTTCCCTCATTTTGTACAGAAACAACCCAGCCCAACCACCCAAACAAACACTGTTACTAACATTTTTCAAGCCCTCTTCCTGCTGTGTGGGTGGGAAAAAAAGGAAGAGGTATTGTGTGATATGGTTCAGGTATTCTGGTGACAGGGGCTTTTCAGTCTGTTTACTTAGGCATGGATTTGAGGCTGGATTATGTATATTATTTATAGATCAAATCTCTCTGGGAGTGTCATGTGAATAAAGTTCCTGGCCGTGCCAGCAGCTCTGCACTGGTCGATGAGTGGGCTCCCCCTGGCCATGACCAGGCCCTGCCTTCTTCATGGAGCTGGCTGTGGCATCAGCCGTAACAGCTCAGTTATCAACTGGGAAATTATTGATAGCAGGCTCTGGTCTCTATTTAAGGGCTTGATCCATTTCCTCCAAGAATTTGTTTTAACTGCCACCATTACTCCTTGGACTGTGATCTGGTGCCACATCTGAGCAGTGAAAAGAAACTTTATCTACAGCATCGTTGAGTGCGATGTTTTACTTTTGAATGTCTGAGAATGGTAACTTTATTGCAGGTTATATTAATTTTATTTACAGGAAGAATTCAATTTGTATTTTCAGTTCAGCTCTTTTCCCCTCAAAATACACTTTCTCTGATGGTGTCTGTTTTGCTTTCCTTTTCCTAGATCAGAGGAAATTTATCAGGATTTCATCTGTGCTGTAGGACTTGGCTGTTAACTCGTGATCTTTGTGTTGCATTTTGCTTATCCTGTTATTCTGCTGCCTCCTCTCCATCCTGCAAATGGCTTACTGCTAAGGAAAAGTTTGGATAGTCTTATTCATCTCTTGACTTCACATTGTTAATAAATGTCATCTGAAATCTCAATACCAGTTACCCTTCAGGGAAAAGAATACCCTACTGAAACATAGTGCCTTTCAGTTCCAAGCATGGAGTAAAATTTCTGATTGACCATTGCTGCTGGTCTCCATAAGGGAAGGAGCTCTGCCATCCCCCGGCACGTACCAGCTGGTGCAGACAAGGGCCAGTGCTGCTGTACAGCCTTGTGCAGTCCCATTCCATCAACCCCATAAGAGTTGCTAATTTTACTGAGCTATAATCAAGCCAGAAACACATCAGAGTCACTGATACTCTAGAATATGTTTTAGACATGGGAAAGAAAATGACAAAAAGGTGAAAAGGGGTTGCCCATCCCCTTTTGTAAATAAGAAAAAATGTCCTAAGTCAAAGGCACCAAGACAGGAATAAGATCCCCAACTGTCTGCGATTTTCCCCCCTCCAACACCACAGTTCAAAAGGTCTTTCAAGTAAAATAGTCTCAGACCGGAACCCCCTACAAGCATTTGCCCAGCATAGATATGGGCTAAATACAGGGGCAGAATCCACTCCTTTCTTCATGTTATCTTTATTAATTAGCGGCTTCATTTTATTGGACTTCCTTCAGATTAGGGTACCACTGATGTCAAAATGCAATGCCATCTTTTTCTGGAAATTGTTGACATTTCTGAAAATGTAATCCGTGCTGCAGGACAGGGTCCCTTCAGTCTCCTTTCGTAGGTGATGAGAAGTATGATGTTAATCATTGATGTATGTGTTATGTTATCTGCACAGACTGACAAGTAGTTCTAAGAGAATTTTTGTTATATTTTCTGATTTTTCCAGAATAGGTTGTATGAGGTGAGGAGCATTTAGCTTCTGCAGACTGTAAGCTCAGAAGAAGGTTTATAACTGCATGCAAAATGTGTGTGCAAATTTGTTCCTAACTTGCATTTAACTTTATCACAACTGAGCTCTGAAATTAAGTAACTGCGTTCACAAATGGCTGTAATTAACTGCATACTTACTAATTTGTTCGCACAGCTAAAGTAACCTCCCTGCACAGAAATGTCTGCACAACTCTGGGAGAAAAGCACAGGAGTGAGAGATGCTTCTCATCTTGACTTTGTCTGCACTTCTGTGTCTGCTCTGTGCAAACCAGGTCCTTAGATATTCAAGTGAGAGAAGTGGAACAGGAAAATGGTGTTGTCAGGCCAGACTTAGCAGGTGCCTGCACCTGCAGACAAGGAAAAAGGAAGGTCAACTTTTGAAAAATACGATTCAGCTTACACCTTGTCTTACTGATCAGTCAGGTTTTTGACGTTACTTTCCTTTTTTCTGGCTTCTTCAGGAATTTTGGCTATTTTCTTGTTTTTCCATTCTTTCCCCACTGTAGAGACAGTTCACTTCATTGTCCACAACAAAATGAAATTAAATCAATTTGTCTGAAATTATTATAAAGTTTTTAATCTCTGACAAATGATTGATCTTTCAAAATTGTCAGCAGTTTCAAATTTCAATCTAAATTTATGTACATGTTATAAATATATTTGCTGTTATTTGTGCAGTGTTAAAAGGCTACTCAGCAGCATGAGGTACAGAAGAGTTTTTAAGAATGAGACGATGAAATAGTGTGGAATAATTTATACATTTGTATTTATTTACAAAATATTCTGGCACAAAATCTTTTCCTGTTTTCATGCAGATTGTTTTGCGAGGGACCTCCAGACAGGTGCTCCTGGGCATTGGCATAAATCTTTCAATCTGCAGATCCAATTTCTACAAAAGGGACAAAGACTTTGCTGAGTTCTGCAGACCTAATGCTTCACCTCCACTTTTCCACATCAACTGAAAAACAGTCCCAGCTCACATTTGCCTGCAGAAAGCCTTAGTGTTCACTAGAGTGGGGTTTGGTGCTTTTTATTCCTCCTCTTGGTTTCCCATTGCTTCTTTAATTTCTTTTGTCTGTTAGTGTCCAGATTTATGGCCGGCATTTGTCGGTGCATGGAGCTGAGATGCTGTGTGAGCTGTCTGTATCCCACACCTCCTCTTCTACAGAATGGGAGGCAGCGAGATGTGCTGGCATTCACAGCTCCAAAACAGATCAGCACCTTTCCCAGCTGGGTTTGAAAGGTAGAAAAGCTGCACGCAGACAGGGATGCCTCTGGGCAAGAAGTGAATGAAAGCTGCTGGTGGTTAATAGTTGACATGGGACATACTTGTGGCAAAGTTGTTACAGGCACACAGAAAAATGTTGTATTGAAAGGTATCTATCTAAAAATCACATGCTCAATTTCTTAAAAGCTATTGGCACTTTGTTGTTGGCTTGGACGGAAACCTGTTTAGCCAATTCTGCTTCTGGGAGCTCTGCATCATTTCTGCCAGTACCTGAAGATGGTTTAGGTTTCACCATGAGACTATTTCAAATGGGACCAGGCGATGCAGGAAAGATCTCCTCTGGAAGCCGTCAGCAGCACCAAACCAGTCATGTTTTTAATAATCTTGAAATACACGGGAATACTAAGCTGAGGTACCTGCTCAGCCTTCCAATCCTTTCAGCACACATGAAAAAAAGAAACTAATACTAGACAGAGGTGTCTAATCAAACCATTACCAGAAGCTGCCATTTGGCAGCATTGCGAGGTGGTACCTGGTAACATTAATCCTCAACGAGCAGTCAGTACAGTCCTACCAGTGATTCGAGTGTCCGAGTGATGGGCTTTGAGGAGGGCTGCTTCCCTCCTGGCTGCCTAACGGGGAACCGACGGCGGCGTGCGCAGGGCCGGGGGGTCATGCCCAAATGTGAGCTGCAAACACAAGCACAGGAGGTCTGTGCCCTGGGAGACTTCTCCAGGTTTAGATGCTGCCTCTCAACCAGGCTGCAGTTCCTTCTCCCTCCTCCTTTTGAAACTAGGGGATGTTGTAATGTTTTGTTGCTTTCTCTTTGGCTTTGCAGCTGCTTAAAAAGTTGCCTGGGAATACAAGCATGTGTGTCTGCGTAGGGGGCAATTCCAAGAGGAGGGTCTCCAGTAAGGAAGCTTCGTATCTGCCTAGTTAGGTGAGAGCTGGGCAGGTTTGTTATGACATAACTCTTTGGGGGGGTTGTGGCAGAGGCGGGGTGGGGTGGGGGTTGTGAGAGAGAGAGAAGTGGCGTCTGCAGCACCCCGGTAGTGAGATCAGACACAGGATCTGGCAGCTTTGGGGTAAGCTACCACCCCTCCACTCCACCACTCAGAGCACCTTGGATCTCCAGCTCGCAGGGGAGAGAAAACCAGCAGCGGCAATCATGGCAACATCAAATGGTTTTATTTCTTCATGACCTCTCTCTTCTCCTCTCTCTCATCAATAATTCACCTGAGGGTTTTTTTTTTTTTTTCCCCACTCACCCCCCCTCCTTCTCCCTCTCTTTTTTGATGTGAAGAGAGGAGAGAAAAGGGGGCACCGGAAAGTGTTTATTTTGTTCGGCAGCTTTTTGCAGCGTGTTTTAAAGAGCTTGCGAAAGGACCCGGGTAAAGAAAAAGGGAAAAAAAAAAAAAAAAAAAAAAAAGGCACAAAGTGGTGGCCGGGGAGGGGGGGAGGGGGGGTTAAGGAGAAGAAAAGAAGAAGGAGAGGAAAAAAAGAGATAGAGGGAAGAAGCCGGAGGAAAGAAGACTTTTAGTGCGGCGTTGCCGGGAGGTGCGGGTGTGCGTTGTGCGGGTGTGTGTGTGCGTGGGTGTGGGTGGGTGTGGGGGGGTGGGGGTGTGCGGGGGGAGCGGCTGCCGCTGCTGCCGGCGCTGCCTCCCGCGGGTGCGCGGCGCGGTGGCCGGAGCGGGGCGCGGAGCGGCGGCGCGGGCGGCCGCGGGTGCGGACCATGGGCTGGCGGCTGCTGCCCGCCGTCCTGCTGGCCCTGGCGCTGGGCGGCCCCGCGGCGCGGGCGCAGAACGACACGGAGCCCATCGTCCTGGAGGGCAAGTGCCTGGTGGTCTGCGACTCCAACCCGGCCACCGACGCCAAGGGCTCGTCCTCCTCGCCGCTGGGCATCTCCGTGCGGGCGGCCAACTCCAAGGTCGCCTTCTCGGCCGTGCGGAGCACCAACCACGAACCCTCCGAGATGAGCAACAAGACGCGCATCATCTACTTCGACCAGGTAAGCGGCGGGGCCGGGGCGGGGTGGGGGGGATCCCCGTGGGGCCGGGGTGCCTGGCCGTCCGTGTCCCCCACCCCCCCCCCCCCGCGCCGGGACGCGGCCGGGCGCGATCAACAAGTGCCGCCCCGCGGGTCCCCCTTCCCCCCGCGCCCCTACTTCGCCCATTCCCTTCATTCCGGCAAAAAGTTGGGGGGCGGCTGCCTGCGGGGAGTCCCCGCCGAGCCCCCGCACCCTAAATCTGGAAAAACGCAGGGGCCGGGCGGGTCGCAGCTGGAGGCTCGATTTGGGGTGTGTGTGTGTGTGGGTGGGGGGGGGGTGTAGCCGCGGCCAGCCGCCCCCGCGGAGGGCATGTCACGACCCGCAGGAGTTTCCCACTTGCCCCCCGGGGCTGAGGCCGGCGGTGCGCGGTGTGTGTGTGTGTGTGTGGGGTGGGGGCTCCGCGGTGGATGGGTCCGGGTAAGTTATTTTGGCTGAAGCGCAGCCCGAGCCCGGCGGAGCTGCGCGGGTCCCCGAGCGGCCTCCGCGGGTCTGCGCGGCGGGCGGGCGGGCGGGCGAGGCGGGGGCAGCCGGTTGGCCCGGGAGGCTGCGGGGGGAGAGGGTTTCTCAGGTGCAAGGAGCCTGCGTAGATTTTTAGACGGCTTGCGCAGCCTTTGGGGGGGGTGGGGGGAAGGAAGGGCGAATTTTACAGAAAAATCGTTTAACTTTTCTATAACAATCACAGGCTTATAGGACAGCCCCTCTCATCTCAGTCACTAATATTAACGTACAGATGCCAGCACACATTTCATGTACCTGCCCCTGTCCTACGGCAAGTCTAAAGTAATTGAGACTGATGGTTATTTTTCTTGCTATACCGTATTATAATGAACAGTAAATTGTAGTGACAGCTGAAGCCAGATATGTTACATAGCTTGGTGCTGGCAGTGTAAATTAGCCTAACTTCACGGACATGGCTTTCTAGGGCTGAGCCTGGCAAAAAGGAGCCTGAAAATATCAATCAAAAATAAAGCATAACTAAGTGGAAAGAAAGAAACATTTAGTCATTAAAGAAGTTATTTAGCATATGGAGGATTCACTCATGTAATATGTTCCCCTCTGTTAGTTGTCTCTGCTTAAATAAACCCAAATTATTATTAGTGCTTACAAAAATAAATAAAGCAGCAAAGGCTCACAGCCAGTTTTTGCTCAGATGAGCCAGGTATGTCAGGAGCTCTGTCTGTCTATAAACTGGTGAATGAATTGTATCATTCATGAACATCCTTCCTCACAGCTACTTTGAGGAAGATGGTGTTGACTTGCCCATTGCTTTTTAGCCAAAAGCAGTATGCCACTCCCTGAATTAGTGTTTTGATGTCATTTGGGGGGAATGATGAACAAAAACGCCTTTTCTTAATCTCCTCTAAACATGTATGGAACAAAACTCTTGAAGGTATGATATTTTAGCAAAGTAAGAAATATTTTCCACCCTAGTTTATTTGTAGTAAAGTTGTACTACAAATATAACTAAATATCCATTTTATTAGTAATATTCCAACTTAATTGAGAGAACAATGAATAAAACAGCACAGACGTAGATAAAAATATATCCATGGGTGGTTTCTAAAGTTAATAGTCTGTATTTTTTACTTAGCACTGAATACCTGTACTAATTCCCATGCTATATTTTTTGTTTGTAGATCCTAGTAAATGTGGGCAATTTTTTCACGTTGGAGTCTGTCTTTGTAGCACCAAGAAAAGGAATTTACAGTTTCAGTTTTCACGTAATTAAAGTCTATCAGAGTCAAACAATTCAGGTACGTTGATCAAATATGATTATAAAATCTTTTACTTAAATTGTTTATTTAGAATAGGATCTTGACCAAACACCGGAGTATTTAACACACTTTCAAGTAAAAATAGCTTAGTTTAAAGCAACCTGTGGTGTAGAGTTCCTATCAGTAGAGTGAATACATTTAAACGGAACAGCTGTAAGAAGGCAGGATCCTTACCTCAGATGAATTGCCATAGCTTCACTTCTATACCAGAAGAACTGAGTATCTGGGGTGACGTAAAGTATTCAATAGAATGAATCATCCAAGAGTAAAATAGAGCCCTATATTTAACTTAATTGCATAAATACTATTGAAGAGTTGTATTTTGCTACAGGTTAAACTCACTGTCTTGAATACAGGTGTTCTGGGGATACATACCAGATTTGCCTATTTGTGTAGCACTCTGTGACCTGGCTGACAGCTCAGGATGCCAGGTATTTGTTTATGACATCAGTCTGCTGTGGACCAAGGTTAGTTAAGGTGGTCTACTTGTTCTACAACTATACCAAAATGTTATACCTCTAGAGGGATGTCTTCTAGGAAACCCTATTAGCAGTTTAAACTTTTTTTTTCAGCATATAATACATAAAAGATATGCTGTATATTTAAAAAAAAGAAAGGAGTGATTCTGCACTTTTTTTCTGTAGCTTAACAGCAGCTGAACTACCTAATTAAATACAAGTATGTAGTGGCTTAGAGGAAAAGCCTCTAAGTTTCTGAATATCCTCTTGCTCAGCCAACAGTAAATTTCTTAAAGTACATTCCTTAATCTTCATGCCAGGTCATGCAATGGTTGTGACATACATCCTGAATTTCTAGATCTGGAGTAACATCTGTGGCTTCCCTTTTTTCCACCTGTGAGACCACCAGATTTACAGAAGCAGCTGATGCTTTTCCCCTGATCTGGCTTGCTCCTGAATATGGTTTTCAGTGTACAAGGCTGACATGAAACAGATTTCTGCAGGACTGATCAGCCATTTCTTTGGGGCAGCTCTGGCTTTGGGTTCCTGCTAAAGCTCCTCAGAAAAGTGTAAATGGTAGAGATGGTAGAGGAAGCTCATGCGAGACACATTCACATCCCTGTTGAAGTTCACCTTCAGTTTACAACATGGAATCATGGTTCTGTTCAGGTCAATGGCAAAGGTCTTACATGAGATAGTGACCTCATGAAAATCTCTATAATGAGCTTATAAGCTATTTAATATGCTCAAACTTTGTTCCTTTCACTCTCTTAAATGCTGAAGATTGAAATGGCCTAGAATAACTGTATGTTAGTCAGCTTCATTGGATTTAAAGTACATATTGCCAAGAAAAATGTTGAGGCTTGGATTCTGGAAGGCCAATGCAGACTTTGGTGTTTTACATACCAGCTACTCAAACCTGGGAGTCTGGGGCTCGTAACAGGGAATGTTACAACGTGTGACAAGGCCTGAAATCTTTCACAGATCAAGAGTTTCTGAAGTGATGGATGGGTTTGGCCGGCTCATTTTTGGCATAGTTAACATGACACCATCCAGTGCAAACCTGTGATGTGTCTTCTGCTGTGATTAAAATAGCTGTAAGATGATCTGCAGGGGAACCTGACCCAGAGAGATGGTAGAGAAGGAAGGAGAGAAACCAAAAGCAAGCAATGAGTAAACTCCTGATGCTCTTTTTTCTGCATGTATGCTAACTAGGGGGGAGGACCAAAAGCCGTTGCAGTGGAGCAAACCAGCTTGAGTCTCAGCCACATGCAGACTTAAACACCACTAAATCACCTGAAGGCTTCCTACATAAGTGATATTACTATGCTCCTGGAACATCTGTTAGTGCCATTAAATATCATTAAACTGAAATTGGTTCCCTGGGGACATCTGATTAAGTGGATTTCCCAGATAGGCGAATCCCAAATCAGGGCCAGATTCTGCTGCCCTGATTTATGCTGAGTACTAATTTATTCTGTGGCAACTCCCATTAAAATTAATGGGAGCATATGCAAGGCCAGCATACTCGATATGTATAAGCATATCATAATTCACCCCTCGGTGACTGCATTATAGCTGCTTAAAAAGAAAAAGCAGAAGAAAGCTAATAGTTTGCCATGGGGGAAATGAAAAATGCCTGGATCTGTCCATTCCCCCAGCCCCTGCCCATCTTTATTTACAGAGTGTCTGTGTGATGTTGCTTTCAGAGCAGTGGCTGTGCTGACTTTCAGAAGTGTTTTACAGAAAAATGGGTTCAGTACCAAAACACAGTGCGGTTGTTCATGAAGCCAAAGGTCTGTTCTAGACTTAACTAAGGCGCTGTCAGCAATGGAAGAGGCATATATTTTGCCCTTGATGACGTGTAAGCTCTCAGCCTACTGCAGTATCTTTGACATCTCATCAAGTGCCTGTATCGCACCTCTGGGTGCCCAGGTTTCTTGAAATTGTCATCTTTGCTACTGTGTGTCTGAATAACCTGTGAGGTGGGCAAAGTGAAACAAACTGAGGTAACAGCTCACAGTTCCCTACTACCAGAGAGTCGCAACAATTAATGTGCCCAAGCAGCAGATGAAAGCAATGTCGTGTCACCCTTCACACGGACCGAGCCGGGACCGTGGCACCCCGTGGACAGTGTCCCACTGACTTCACTCAGCTGCAGGTCAAGCCCATGAAAGATGAATGTGCTTGTACACTCCTGATTAATTATTAGCTTAACACAAACAAACAACAAGCAGTGCTGACTGGGACTTTAGCAGACCTCTCACACTGTAGTTAATATTCAGTGATAGTTCTTGATGTTCTTCTGTTAATTAAAGCTTCTCAGTGGTTTTTCTCTCGTAGGTTAATTTGATGCTAAATGGAAAGCCAGTCATATCTGCTTTTGCCGGGGACAAGGATGTCACACGTGAAGCTGCCACTAATGGAGTGCTGCTCTATCTAGACAAGGAGGATAAGGTTTACCTGAAATTGGAGAAAGGTAATCTGGTCGGTGGATGGCAGTATTCTACGTTTTCTGGCTTTCTGGTCTTTCCCCTGTAAAGTCCATTTTCCTGTGACATTCATCCAGGTGTGGACTCATCATTGCCTCTGTTACATGAAGATCATTTTATCATCATGGGATTGATGTTTCTTTATTGGTTTTTCATGGGTGAATATGGATTCTCTTTATGGATTTTGGCCCCATCTGGACTACTCAGAAGTTTCACAGAATTTTGTGTGTTTGTTTAAATACAATATATTTGGACTGAGACTAAAGCAGACAATAAATATCTATGCTTAATGTTACAGTCTAAAGCTGCCTGCAAGATTTATTCAGATTTAATTTACTGGACTTACTGGATTCGTGGGAGAAGTGGATTTTCTTTAATTATGAAAAGACTGGCAACCAGGTCTATAATTTAGGAGAGTTTGAGTTCAGACTTCAATCAAGAGTTAGTGTGTTGCTGCCAAAGAACTGTATATTGATATATTGGTCATACATGTTTCTGTCATTGGGACTTAACTGACATGATCTGTTCCATTGTCTTGAGAAAGGTAATTATTATTGATAAGTGGTTGACTTTAATTCTCCTCTGCGTGTAGTGTGTTGGATGATTCACCCATATATTTATGCTCTGTCACTGGTCACAATCAAGTCTAGCTTACATAAAGCTAAGAGGTTATGGCTGTATTTTAATTGGATATGTAAGGTATTCCTCTTTTCCCTGTGTTGTTTTCTAAAAAGAAAAGCAGATTATAAACATTAAGAAAAATATTCTTACCAGGGTTAAAGGTGATCATTCAGGCACAACTTTGCAAAAGAGCTTTGCCCTGCAGGAAGTCTCACACTTGTTCTTCAATTTTAATTAACATGATTGATAATAACTGCTTTATTAAAAACCTAAGGGATTCCTTCCTTAGACACAACCACTTTATTAGCTGGAGATGAGATCCCCTTGTTTGTAATTATGTCTATTTTTCAAACCTTCTGTTGTGTTAAAGGTATCATCTGGTTTTGCCTTAACTCCACAACTGTATATAATTTTAGATCATATGTTTAGCAAATATTAAACCCAAATAGCCGGTACCTAATTTGGTGCAATATCTTTTCGGCTTTTTGTACAGATCATATGAATTCATAAACTTATTTATTATATCATTGTTACATAATAAAAATTAATACATGTTAGTTGAATTTTTGACCTTTGGATTTTGGAAGTCACTTCATGATATTTTTTTATTGGATATAATTATTATATGCAAAGTGTAAGCTTTTGGGATTCACAGAAACTGTCCTGGGAGACAGGCAAACTGTCATAATTTAGCCTGGCAGAATCCTAGAGGTAATCAGAATGAGCTAGAAATAACCTATGCATTTTATTTAAAAAACCATTTAGGCAGAAATCCTGGCTTCACTGAAGTTAGTGTTAAGAATCACATTGATTCCAAAGGATTTTGGATGAGACCTGTGCTTTAGGTTTTGCTGTCAGCATTAAACTCCAGTGCCATCAATCTGAATATCAATTAAAAATGATTTTCACATGAACTGCTAATGAAACCTTCATCCCTCATGCCCAAAATGCACAATGAATTCAATGGATATTTGTGCCTTGCATATCATGAAGGATATAGTTCTAAATTAAAAAAATACTATGTACTTGAGAATGTTTCTAGATGGAAGCATATCCAGCAATCTGGGACCTTCTCTAAAAGCCAGCTTAGGCTTGGATTTGCTGTTTTAGGTAATCTGTTTCCAATTTCTTCACTTGTTAGCCAAGTGCAGTGTATCATATTGCTCTAACTGCTGTAAATGGATACTTCTCTGATTTAAAGACTTGTGCATGGCTGGCTGATGCTCCTGATAAAGGGAATCAGTGTCACAGAATTGTGCTGAAATTCCTTATTTCTCTGGACCCAACATACAGGATTTTTTTGGGGAATTTCAGGAGGATAGTTGGGTATGTTTGCACCCCAGTGAAATAGATCAGATGAGGAGGTCATTTGTTAGATACGGTATTGTTTCTGCACAGAACACTGCAGTTTGGGAGAAAGTGGAAAGACACAGCAAGAAGGCAAATTATTTACATCACTGAAAAATAAAGTTTTCCATTCTGACTAATCAAAATGTATCACTATTGTACCCCAAAAATGTGTGTGTGTGTATATATATGTATGTGTATATCTAAAAAACCTGGGGATTGCAGCACATAATGTACATGATATTATAAAAAGTTTTTTTGTCATAAGAGTTTATTTCAGAGGGGAATATCAATATTTTGTATAAAACTGGTAAAATCTGAAAGTTCACCTTACCCACTGATATATATGTATGTAAGGAAACATTGTTCCTACACAGATAGAAGAAAAATGGCATTAAAGGTGTCAGTATGCTTTTCAGAATGATCAAATGTACCTAACTTCTTTTGTTTGTAAACATACGACCTTTAAAAGCTGCCTTTAGCATTCAGCAATAATACTGAGCTATTTTAATGTACTGTTGATTTCCCCTTGGCAAAAGATTTGTGTTTACTTCAGCGTCATTAACAGTTATTTAAACTTTAACTAGAGAGTCTAGCAAGTTATTCAATTAAGGAAATATATTTTGATGGAAATGTCCTAAATATTTCTCCTCAGTCTCTAAAATCAGAATTACTAACTAAATAGTTTGCTAGTTAAAGGAAAACAGAAAGTTTCACAGAAGTCACTGTAAAGCAGCTTGTGTTACCTTCACACAACGCTGAGCAGTGACTCCACTCAGAGGCGGCCTCTGGAGATGGGCAGTTCTCTTAGCTCACATTTAAACATTTAAATAAGAACAAACTATGGTTTTTAAACTACAATTCGAGCTACTTTCCAGATCTTGAGCTCATTTTCATTGTATTGTCCCACACTTCAGTTATGTCAGTAGGAGTTTCTCCTAGAAGAGTTAAGATAAGCTAGCCTAGATGGAGCTGGGCCTGGTAACTACGGTTTTTCTCCTCTTTCTTTCGTCATTCCTTTTCCTTCTGTCTTCCCATGTCACTGCTACAGTAGTTTTCTTGTCCCGAAGCAATGGCTCAGGAGACACTTCAAATTTCAAAGGGTATTTAAGATTAGAGGTTTGATTTAAAAAAAAAAATAACTTAAATCTCCATTGAGCTGCAATGTAAAGTTTAGAGCCGAATTTATGATCCTGTTGTATTCGATTAAGCTAGCCTTATTGACTCTGGTGAGGGCAGAATTTCCCACTCTGTGCATATCCCTGCTGTAGAACATGCTGAGGCTCTATACCCACATCCTTCAACATACACCCACTTTGTAGTCAACTCTGTAGCTTTCAAAGGTTGGTCGTGCAAGAAAATGTTTTGGCCATGGGTGGTAAAGATAAAAGAAAAAAGTTACTGTCTGAGAATAACATACATATTGTTATTATCAGTGATCTCTTTACAAAGGAGATCAATATTTTTACCTTTTTGTGTTTTATTTATATTATATCCATATTTTATTATAAAACTAAGGGGAAAAAAACCCTATATTGTCCTCCTCAGGTGATGTAAATGTTTTTGGTAGAGCCAGGAATACCCTGGTCTCCTAGATTAATCTGGTGTAGAAATCTGCTCTGTTGTGTTGAATCCTACTTGCTATGATGAAAATGACTGCAGAGCCAAAAAAGATACCGTTCAAAAGAGCCTGGGTAACAGAAGTGTTTTTGGAAAAGGCACTGAGGTAGCTTTGAAAATTTCACAAGCAGTTTTTTCTTTACATAACAAGGAAAAACTAGCTCTGAAGCATAGAGAAGGAAATCAGATTTTTTTTTTTTTTTCTTAAGCAACATTTTGTATTTGCTTTGTATGTAATTTTCTAGTAGTACCTGAACATTTTCTGAGTGTAAATTAAATTGCTTTGGCCAGGTCATGACAGAATAAGTATTGCAACCTCAGTGTTACTACTGAGAAAATGGAGAGAGGGTTTGGGAAATGACCAGTGCCATACCCAGAGTGCCATCTCATCCACTGCTGGTGCTTGGTCCTGTTCAGTTGCTGGATTGATCCTTTTTCTGATACAAGACAATTTTTTAAAACACAGAATGGTTTTGGAGTAAATGGCATACTGCTGTATTTCCTTTTCCATATTATTTAGATGTCTATTTCCAGAAGGATGAATGCAGTGAAACAGGACAGTTTTAAATGTTCTGAGAATTTCATAATTAGCTATCAACTCTGTCTTCCTTTTTTTTTTTTTTTTTTTTCCCAAGCCCCCAAAGGAGCACATCTACAGTACGTATAGTATTTTTACAAGCAGGTTTTAGGATAGAGAAGATAAATGCAAGAAGCAGTATGTCATAATCACAACAAGGAAGCTGAACCATTAACATGAAATATGGGCTGAAGCAGAGAAGCAGATATATGTTCTCCTCCTTTTATAAGGGTTTCTGAGTTGGTAACATGTTTTACCTTAGCTATTCATTACAGCTGGCCTTCATATTGTAAGAGCTCTTTATAATATTCAAACTCTTTGTCTTCTAAAGACAATGTTAACCAGATGACTCAATGTTAATAAATGTAGATCCCCAGTGACAGAATTTATTGGCTGGCACATGCCACAACAGCATATTTTTTGTACTATTGCTGTCCAGACGGAAAAGGCTCCTTTGAGAAAAGACATTGTCTTAGGCACTGAGCTAAAGTTATTTATCTGTTGCTGGTTAGGAATGGGGAGGGGGGGGGGGAAACCTTTCCTACCATAAAGCACTAAGGGGAATGAATACAAAGAATAATGATAAAATCAGTCAGTTATATAAGTGATGATGAGAATAATGGAAATGTGGCTTGAATAGTCTGTTTAGTGAAAGCTGTGATCTAAGGCGTTTGATGGAAGCAATCACTATTTTAATCCTCACAGTTTGGGGGAAGGGAAAAAGCCAGTTGCATCATTTTTAACAGGTTCTTTTCCTTTTTTTTTTCCACCCCTTTTTTCCTGTTTTTTTTTTTTTTTTTTTTTTTTTTTTTTTTTTTTTTCATCCTGCCTTGTGGTTCTGCTTAGCTGCAAAAAGATGTGATCAGGAATGATCTAAGAAAAGTTCATTTCTGAAGACAGATGGGGGAGGGTATTACTTTTTTTTTTTTTTTTTTTTCTGGTATCTGATGTGGGGGAATAAAACAAGCAGGAGAGGAAGGAAAATGACAAACTTGACTTAACCTAAATACGTTCTTGACCTATCGTCCAGTTCAGTGAATTGCCTAAATATGTTCTGCTTATATGCGTAATACTTTTCTACAATGCATGATACTGACCCATCTTGTCAAGGCCACCATATTGTAATCTGATGGCTTTTAATCCTGCTGGAGGAAACTAGATGTAGAAGTGTAGTGCAGAGCACTGGAGATTGGCAAATAAAACAGCTTTATCTCTGTACTTACACGTGTGCTTGGATTTACTCCCACAAAGCAGATCTGTCATTCCTGGGGCATTTTGGTGCAAAAGGTAAATGTGTGTATGAACATTGACACACTTGAAAACAAGCTGTGAATCTAGATATTTCTGAATTACTGCTGACACAAGGAAAAAACTGTACCCTAAGCTCATGGTGAGGATATTTAAATGTGCTGTATGGTCCTAATGCTGAAAGGTGGCAGATCTTGTCACCTGGGCAGTGACCGAAGCTCTGCTGAGGGGACAAGACCTGCCCACAGATGGAGGGTCTGTATTGACCCAAGAGTTGGGGGCCTCTGTCAGAGCAGTGTTAGGACAGGCAGGCATGCTGTCAGCTGTCCTGGAGTTTTACTCAATTTAAAAATCAATGTTTGGGGTTTTATTTTATCCCTTTCTTTGCAAACGAAGGTCTATTTACAGTGAACATATGGGACTCTCAAACAAAGGCAGTCTTTAAAATTAACACTGTCTGAAAATAAATTTAAGAGAAAGTTCTTCTAAGTATATAGCAAGGCTAAATTTCTCTTAAGTTGAAGGTATGCAATTAAGTAGCAAAGCAAATTAAAGATACATCTGTGCTCTACTACACAACTAAACATAAAGGAGCAAAATTGATTCTGGCGTGTATCCCACGTACCTGCAAAACAGCTCAGAAGCTCAATACAACAGAATTACAACTCATTATGCCGGCTATTCCCACTGTGCAGTCACAGAAACAGCCACTGGGCAGCCTCACCCGGCAGTGCTGCTGCGGCGCCCGCTGATGAGATGCATTTTCAGGAGAGGAAGGTTAGTACTGGTGTCGGAGCATTTTCCTGGAACAACAGGGCTGGATGCGGCTCCTCCAGAGGCTCTCAAGCACCCAGGCAGACCTGACCAGCTCTCACAATGCTCCGGTCTACAGCAGGTTGCAAAATTTTACTTGAAACAATTCCCTACCAGGAAACAACATTTGAATTCAATTATTGTTTGCAGAAAGCAGATGCATTAGAAGTAATTTTTTTTTTTTTTTGCTAATAAAAGGAGAGAATTGGTTTGAATCAAGAAGCTTTTTTACTCAATTTTAAACTCTTTATTTGAAAGATTACATTAGTTTAAATAGAAAAGGGAAAGAATTAAAACTGAAATAAAACATTTGAACGTTTGAAATAAGTATTTACAAATAAAACATTTAGACTGCTCTAAAATTATTTTTGTCACTAGGGTTTCATTTGGGTAAAAGGATACAATTTTGGAAGTTCACTTAGATTTTATGGATGACTATATTTCCAAATCTCTACCTTTCCTTTATTTTTTTTAACAGAAAGCAAATGTTTTCTCACAAGCTTTATTTTAATCCTATTAACTGATTTTCTAAATCATATAAAACTGTCTGTTGAAAAGTCTGCACAAAGATTTCATAAACTGTGCTTCTATTTTTTTTTTTTTATCTTTCAGAATGTATCTTTAATGTCATGGGGACAGCTGTTTTGATCTTCAGGGATGATCAAACACTGCAGATTTCCTCTGCTGAGAAAACCTGAATCACGTTAAACGCACCTGGCTTAAGGATTTCACTGGAGGCTCATATTAGTAGTCAAGTTCAGTGAAATTTTCATGAAGACCTTTGACACCTTAGGGTCAGGGTGTAGAAGAAGGGATCCAGCTTTCACATAAAAGGTGATTTTCTCTGTGCCTGCAACCTGACTCCACCTTCACCCTCAGTTACAACTTCCTAATATGATGGTGGCCAGTCCATTTTATTTGTCTATTTAAGCTTTTTCATAGATTCAAATTCTGATAGTCTTGATAGATGCTCAGAACTGGCTGAGCATTGAGTGTCTGGCCAAGGAGTGCAATAAGTCCCTTTAAAGCTTACGAAAAGGGACATTTGTCCTTTCATCCTTTGCGTATCAGGCAACATACCCCCTGCATTCCTTTCCTCTCTGTGGCCTGTGGCCAGCCAGAAATATTGAAATCACTGTTGATATTGAAATATTGATAAACGTGTT